GAGGAGAGAGAGAGAGAGAGCTGCGTGTGCACCGATGCGCAGAGGTGCGATTTCAGTCACGTAGATACCTATTCTATTTTCGTTCTCCGACGAACAATCTTGCATTTTACGAAAAAGGAAAAGGAATTCCGTAAAAATATTCAACTTGATGTGACAAGCGCAAGGTAAATGTCATATAATAAAGCGGAATTACATAAAGGTATGCGGAAAATTTCTCAGTCGTGTTCCCGTACAGAATTAAATTCAAGGAAGAAATTTCGCACGAGCATTTTTATATTTTGCATTCGCTTACTCACTGCATCAAAATTACTTTCATAAGGAGCGTGTGTCTCGAGTATCCGGCTTATTTAGAAGCTAAAGTGTCCTCACATAAAGCCAGGCGTTATTCCGAGCAATGTTTCAAAAGAATGTCGTCACGGCGATAAGTAAAAGTTCATACGCAATATCGCGGGAGGGCGTTTCGGCCGGCGAAATACGCGCGCGCATAAAGTGAATTTCCATAAAATGAAAATATCGTCGCCTGAGTTGGGCCAAAGGCCATTCGCAAGGTTCAGGCCATTCGCAGTTAGTGGTTATACACTTTTAACGTACCCGGGGTGTATGTACGCGATTCGACCGCGATCTTTTGCCAACATTAATCGAATCTAATCGCCGCTATGTATCTTAGCAACAAGCCAAAATTGCTCCACTTTATTATTGGCTGTTTTAAATTTGAGTCGCTCGCTATCGATCGATCGAGCAACCGTAACTTTATTTAACGTTTCATAACAGACGAGAAAACGGCACATAAATACATTTCCTAACTTAGAAACTGTCTATATTCTTCCGCGATGTGAATGCAGAAAAACAGAGATATGAAACCACGTGCGATCGCCACGAGACACCGAAGCTTCGCTCGATGATGCTGCGAGAGAGAGAGAGAGAGAGAGAGAAGGGGGGGGCTGTAAAGTTGGTTTACGATAAAAGCCGCTATAAAGAGGCAATGGCGAAATTAAAAGATCGGGTATATAATCGGGAACATTCGCGGGTTATATCCCCCTCCGATAGCGCCGACGGCATGGGAACGCGGACAGGTAGAGGCGAGATAAGACGTTCATCGCCTAGCAACGAGATCGCGGCATCGGGCATCTTCCGCCGAAGCGGGAGAGAGAGACACACGCGGCCGAAACGAGCCCGAGCACTAATTACAGCGCTAATTATAGACCCACGCGTGAAACCCGCGGGGAAACCCGTCTCGCATCTTAACTTCCCTAATGCGCAACGCCGGACAAGATTTATGACACGATAATTACGACGTTACACGTCTGACGCGGGCAACGCCGTCGATCGATCATCAGGTCGCGACACGCGGGACAACTTGATGCATATATTTACTTAAGCACTTCGCGGGAACGAAGATGATGACGTAACGCGCCTAATTCAAGCCCGCCGGGTTCCCTCGGTCTTAACGCGCGCGCCGCGCGCGTTAAATCGTGACGCGTGAAAAGAAAAGAAAACGGAGATCGGTGGATTTGCGGGGGATTAAGGAGCCCGCTTTATGATATGCGAGAATCCCACGCTCGCGCTGACGGCGCGATATTTTTTAATACTTTTAGCCCATGAATCTCGGTCTCTCTGCGGGGATTCCTACAGTTCGGTTCGCGTCGGAAGGTCGGAGTAAATGTTCTCCCTCTCTGAAGAGCAACGAAAACACCTTCCCGGATATATGTCAAACAAGGAAAAGGAGTTACGTCTTCGAAAATAGATTTTTGGGAGGAAACACGCACGTTTTGACCGCGGATTATTATTGAATTCGTTAATTATAGAGACCGTATAACACGACCGGTGGTCACGTATAACTTCGTATAATGTATGCTATACGAAGTTATTACGTCGAAAGAAAGGCACAAACAATCGAAATACAATATAGAAGATTCCTAAATAAATCGTTAAAATCTGTAATATGTAGAACAATTACATTTTTTTCTTTTCATAAAAATCGAAATATCGCACTTGATCGCTAAAAATTTCAAAGTCTTAAACAGTCTTAGTCTTTGACTTTTGATTTTATGTATGCTTATGATACTTAACTTATAGAAGAAAAATTAATGTAATCTCGTCTCTTTCTGTATTCGGAAACTTTATGACTAAAATATTATCGGGAAGCAAATGGAAATGCGCTTTACGAAAGCACGCAAAACGATATCATGTATAATATTAATCAATCCGC